AGAATACCAGGCTACTTATTTGTTGAATAATTAACTTCCTACGTAGCAAGTGAAAAATGAAAGAAAGGGAGATTCAGAACAAGCATTCTTTAAAAACACTGCTTTCATATCATGGTCTATACATGCCACGCACTTCACATAGGTGTTTTCCTAATCTTGGTAACATCAGAAGTGAGATATACTCTCTTTTAATGAACAAGGACACAAAGGCTCACAGAGGTTAAAAATACCGCACTCCAGATGCCACAGCCAGGAATTCAGATGGCAAATGTGCCTTCCCAGTTGCTGGTTGAGGGACTAAATAATATATCAGAATGCCAAGGAAGCGAACATGCTGGCATTCGTCATTTACTTGAGGAAGAGTTCATGAATAACCTACAATGTAGACAGAACCAGGGCCTTACCTGTAAAATAGTTTCACAGATGGCAGTATATTCAATTTCACGCTTAAGCAGACAGCTCAACTCTCCAATTATGTCCCCACAAGTGCAGTACTCTGTAAATAGGGTTTGGGACTGTCTAGTCATCCTATGGACACTGTCGACTCCAAAGGTAGGAGGTGAACTATGCAGCTGCAAAGGGAAATCCCAAGTTAGAAACCCTTGGCCAGACTATAGGGGCTCCCACTCTTGCATTCATTACAATGGAAGGTAAAGGTGCTTTATGAATCCTCTCAGGTGTGAATTGGGCTTCACAAAAATCACGGTTTCTTTCACATTTAAACTCTCGGAGGCATGGATTATTTCTGATCTTTAGCTTTACAATTTTCTCCTTATAAACCTTCCGTATGTAAAATCTCACACAAAGTAGTTATTGCCATCTGCAACTAATGTCACTCCCCCTGAGTCCATTAGATATTCTTATTGTCACAAGCCAGTGCCTCAAGTGAAAAAAACAAAAACAAAAAAACCCACACCTTTTGATTCCATAAATGCACAAATCGGACATCTGAATTAATTCACCTCCGAACCAAGCAGTTCAGTAAAAGCCTGTCTCCCTTTAAGGTGCTTAAGAATAGCTACCAGGAAATAGCAGAAGAAAACGTTTTTAGGGTGAACACAAGATGGTTGAGTTCCCCCCAGGAAAAGAACTGGTAGGCACAAGTGGGGGAAGAAGAAAGGCATCAGACTTTGGGAGGAAACTGCAAGAATCAACCAGAAGGATTACAGAATTTCCCAGAAAGTTTAGCTGTAAACATCAAAGACAAAGGTTATTTTTCCAGACACAGGAAATAGGAAACAAAGGGTCACTGAAGAAGTTGCTGTGACAACTGTACCCTCTCTGAGAGATCCCCATTCAGACTCCAAAGGACTTGGACATTTTTTACATTTAATTTTGAATGCAGTTCAAAGGCCCTTTGAGCAGTGAAGAATGCCCCTGCTCTTTACAAACCAAGGAAAGAAGATAGCATCTGTGGTAGGCAGAATTCTAAAAAGCCAATTATACTTGAATCTAGGTACTGCTATGAAGGGATTTTGGAAATGGAGTTAAGATTACTGACCACCTGATCATAGAGATGATTCTGGATTGTCCTGGTGAGCCCAGTATAATCACATACGCCCTCAAAAGTAGAAAAGGAAGTAGTCATTCAAAGAGATGTGACTGTCATCTAAGATCTGGGAATTATTGGGGTCAGGAGCTAGGGCTCACCCATGCATTCAGCTAGTAGTAATTTGGATTCTAAAGGATTCCTGTCCCCATCACTCTACTGACATCTTTCTTTTTCTTTGGTCACCAAAGCCTCCTACTGGTCAGATTAAAAGTTGTATTTTCTATTCTCGTCCTATTTGACCTCTGAGGGGATGTGACATTGTGGTCCATTTCCTTAATCCTGACTCTCATTTTCTTTAGGTGAGTAACTCCACCACTCCAAGTACTGGGTTCCTTAATCGAACATCATGGAAAAGACTGCTTCCTCCCAGGATTGTTGTGAGGAATAAGTAACAGTTATGAAAACAATTTGTAAAATGAGAAGCACCTTTCAGATGTTAGGTATTAGCATCATCTCTCAGCTGTGGTGCTCACACTGGGAGAAATGGTTTAATTTGGTAAAGAGACTACGTTAAAATTTTGAAACTTTCTTGATTCCTAAATTTCTCCTTATGCTATAATTACATATTGCAAATACATTTTAAATAAAAAATAAACAAATAGTCCCTTACAATTGCCATTCCTGAAATAATCAGGTAGATTCCTTGTGGCATTTCACCTTCTTTACAAATAACATCTCCATAGTCAAAATAGGCAAGTTTGGCTCGTTCCTGAAGTAAAAAAGAAAAGAAAAAGTCAACACAAAAGCTTCATAGTCTACTTTTCTCAGTAGAAATATTTTAAAGCAAAAATGTCTTTCAAGTTGCATGAAACCACAAGTTGTATTATTTGGTTTGTTAATGAATTATAATAATGTGCTGACATAACGCATTAACCTTTAGAAAAAAAGGGAGAAGCAAGCAAACCATAGACTTTGTGATTAGTAATCAGCACAGTGACTGATAGAAACACCCAATAAATTCGAGGTTGGGTAAATGTTTACAATAAAGTGTGATAAGAAGACAGAGACAGGATGCCCTGGGAAAATCCAGAAAGGCCACAGGACTGTGTCTTAAGTGTCCAGGGAAGACTTTACAGAGGAAAGAACAGCTAAGCTGAGACCTGATGGAAGAGTTACACATGGCCAAGATTCGGTGAGCCGAAGACCTTTCGGGCAGAGGGTTCAGTATACGCAGAGAACAGAAGCAAACAGAGTATCTGCTTGTGGTGAGCAGAGACTCAGTATGTCTCAGGCAGGGAGCGGTGGTCACCTGGACTCAGTTATCCATTAGGCCTCAAGAGGCACAGTGACTAGGGTTCACAATCGTTTTAGGAACTCAGCAATACTTTCGTTTCTTTTAAAATCAGAAGGAATGAAAGAACTTTTAAATAGAAGAGAATGTTTTAACACTAAAACAGTTAGTACTGGTCAGTACTAATAGTCATCTTCATATGAACAGTCAGAAAGTATAATTTTGGGAACTTTTTTATGGAGGAAGAGACCCACTGAGGCAAAAGAGTGCAGGGCCCATGAAGAGTCATGATGCAGCCTGGGCGAGGCAGGACTGGGAGCTGAGCCAGAGCCAGGTCTGGCAGGATCTGGGAGGCCCATTAAAGAGTCCGGTTTTTTCCGAAATCGGGGGGAAACCACTGAAGGGTTTGTAACAGGAGAATTATGGTGACAGATTTGCATTTTACAAAGATGTGTGAGAAACATATTTCCAAGTCATTCATAGTGGTTATCACTAAGTGTGGGATGGAAGAGTGAACAGTCCTCTCTTTTCAATTTACTTCTGGGTTATTTGAAAATAAGCATGGATGACTTAACGATTTTTTTTTTAAAGTTCACCTAAAGCCAATTACCCGGAGTATGGATTATTCAGACCTTGTTTTTCTACCATTGTCTTCTGGCTTACCTTTATAGAGTATGGGCTTTTAGTAAACCACACCTGTTGGAGGATGAAAGAAGGGAGGAGTGGTGAAAATTAACTATGAGGGCTGTGATGGAGACCAAGATTGAACTTAGTCTTCATTAAGAGGTGTTTTATGTTTGTTTTCTCTCTGGATTTCAGTCATCCACACAATCCCTGGGCTGTTTCTAATGAGAATAACGCCCCTGTGCTCCCAACTCATTACTATTTTTATCCCGTTGAAATCAGATTTAAGTGGCTATCAAGAGCCAGCATACTAAGGAAAAGGACCACTTAAAGAGAGAGGTATCTGAAAGGGATAGAGAAAGCCCAACAGCTTTGCATAGGATGGAGGGGAGGAAGATTGTGCCCTGCTCATAGATTCACCTCAGTGTCTGTGAATCATTAATTTATGGAGTTTTCTTCTCACCGTTTTCCCCATTGTTCCCCATTCACTGTTGGATCGTCAGTTATAATTATACTTGTGAAAATTATTACCTATAAAGAACCAAATTCTAACTTTATCTTAAAATTGGATTTTTGCAAAACTAAACAGGTTCCATAAAAGCAAGGACTTCATTTATTTTGTTCACTGCCATATCCCCAAACATAGAATAGTTTCTGGCACATAGAATAGCTTCTGATAAATATTAGTTGGAAGAGCCCCAATTCCTAAAGCAACACTCAGTTGACTTTAGACAAAACACGAACTCTGGAATATACCACAGTCCTCACTATTCCCTATTACACTACACCCAGCTGGTTTTACTTTTTAATTTATTTTTAAAAAATTTAAATTGATTTCAGAGAGGAAGGGAGAAGGAGAGAGAAATAGAAATATCAAGGATGAGAGAGAATCATTGATCAGCTGCCTCCTACATGCCCCCTACTGGGGATGGAGCCTGCAACCTGGACGTATGCCCTAACTGGGAATCGAACCATGACCTCCTGGTTCATAGGTCAACGCTCAACCACTGAGCCATACCGGCTGGGCTAGTTTTACTTTTATATTATCTTCCTGACCTGTATAGTCATTTAAATTTGAGGACCTTGCTCTAAAAAGTCTTTTCCAGAGTGGTCATCTGGAAGTCCAGACTCTACAACATAAAATAAGATGGGATTGCTAATGATCAGGTAACAGAGAGAGCTCATCCTGAGCAGATAATCCATTGTAAGAAAACAATCATTGCTTTTTAGGCTTAAAATGAAATCTACTCTTCTAGGTTTTGCTAGGCCTCCATTTGACTTATCCTTTATTGGCCATTACAGGAATCTTGCTTTAAATTTTGTAGTTGTTAATCTTATATTAGGGAGTGGGAAAAACTAAAAATAATTATTAAACCTGAGCCAGAACAGAAGACAGAAGCTTTACCTTGAAGAACTCAATGAGAACATCTTTATTTTCCAGCCAAACAATATTATGAAGATATTTGTCAGGAGTAGGGGGCGGGATTGACATTGGAAAGTTATTCAGTGCTTTTATTTTTGAAAGAAGTACCTAAAAACAAACAATCAAAACAAGGGTGATCAGATCCTATAACAGAAAAGGTACATTTGGTTAAAACTGAGGAAATCTAAACAAACAACTGTTATGCAAACTTAATCTTGATTTTTGACTCAGAGCTTCTCTCACCGTATTTAAATTGTCCTCTAACTTTTTTGTCCCTATTCTCCCCTCATTATTATTTTCACTGATGTCTTATCTCATATTCAATTTATCATCCTTATAATACAATTAACACTTACATTCTACCCTGCCTTAATCTTAAATTAACTAAACTTCAAGGTTGATTACTATATGATTTAATGCCATGCTCTCTCCATTATCTTCATGTGTATGATTCGCTTCTCTAAACCCTTCTAATGGAGGATACCCTGAGAAGCCCTCTCTGGCTTCCCCCACCAAGTAAGAGATAACCACTTATCTCCATATTCCCAAGGCATCTACAGGTCTCCCTTATGGAACTCATTGCATTATAGTAGTAGTAGTAGTTGTACTTCTGTGTTTCACCCTCCATATTATGTCACTTTTGTTGATTGGATGAACAAGTGACTGAGTGAAAGAATGAGGAAGAGCCCATGGACCTTAGGAGACAGTGTTATATCCATTAACTATCCCCACCTCCTCAAGAGCCCATAACAGATAGTAAGTATCCCATATATATTTACTTAATTAAATCGAATAGACTTACCTGCCTCCTTATGACCTGGGATTGATAATTATATCTCTTTGGCTGACAATTTGACAATTAGCAGGCATTCAATTAGTAACTGTGGAATGATTGTTTACCCATTACCTTTCTAAACAAATCGACAGGAAAAAATAAGTCTCTCTCCCCATAAGGGTTATTATTTATTTATGGGTATCAAGCATTCAATTGAATCTCATATAGCCTTTAAAGTGATAAATGAAAAAAAAATACAAAACACAATGCGTGCAGAGGTGTAATTTGAAGAATACTCTAAAGTAGCCCTTCCACTCTCTCTAAAAATCAATGGAAAAATATCCTTGGGTGAGGATTGAAAACAAACAAATAAGTAAATAAAGTCACAGTACAGGTTGGGGTGTCAGGCTAATGGAATCAAGCAACATAAAAATTGCTTCGTTACCTTATTCATCTCGATGCCCTCGTGCTTATCGATAATGCCTCTGGAGCAAAGGAAGGCGAGGTGTTTCAGAGACTTGGCGATCACGGTCTGGATTGCCTGCCTGGTCTTCAAAGCAATGACCACATCACGACCCTCGTGCTCTATGAGTCCTGATGCGAATAAACCTCTCAGTGAGCAAACCATGCAATGGCCGCAATGACTAATATTTGTGTAATAAATAGTTTGTGATTTCCAAAGTATTTACACAACAGCCTTTTTGTTCCTGTCTCAGACAGAACTGGTGAGGCTGGTAGAACCAGAGTTATTTTCATCTCCATTTTATGGGTGAGAAAACCGAAAAACGGCTTTCCCCACTGGCGAGGAGAAAAATCACTCGTGCTGCCTATTCCCATGGCACTCCTACCTGGCCCATTATGAAACTCGTTCCATTGCAATATTATTCTTTTCACCTGTCTCATGGATAATTTTATATAAATTACATATTGTTTGTTGGCTAGTTGAATAAATGACTTGAGATCAAAGAGCCCCTGGACTTTGGCTGGTGAGTCTTTCTGAGATCAAATCCCTTTTTTCTTTTTTTTCCTCTTTCATGAACATGAGGAAGTATGGACGGGACCGGGAGTCAAGGCTAAAACTGTGTCTATTCCATCTTTGTAATCCTAGCATCCAGCGCAATGCCTGACACCTGGGAGGTACGGGAGTCATTTTTCTAACTAAAATGAGAAGAGCAGTCAAATGAAGGATACGATGATCAAGAGCGGGTTCTAGTGTCAGACACGCCTGGGCCTGAGGTCTAGCTCACCACTTACCAGGCAAGTTAACTTCTAAGCCTCAGTTTCACCAGCTATACATGAAGATGACAACAGTATTTGCCTTCTAGAATAATTATAAGCGTTAAATGAGATAATGTATATAAAGCCACTAACACAGTTCCTGACATAATTAGTATTCAACAATCCATTGCAGTAATCATATGGGAACAGGCACTCCCTCTCATAGGACTGAATCAAGGAAACTTTGTAATATTCTGTACTAACCTAAAACATAATGTAAGACAGCAGCTCCTAGGCCCCTAATCTTTCAAAGAACAGAAGTAAAAATCTATCGACATGAAAATGGCAGCAATGGGCCCTGGATTTTCTGAGACAGCTCCCAAATATTGACCTATTGTCTCCGAAGGTCAAATTTCAGTCATTAGACCACATTCTTTCTGTTTTGATTTGGAAAGTCTGATCTTTAGAAGCCCACGTGGCGTCTTACACTGTGATTATAAATGCAAAGTGGTTTTACTTGATTACTTTTATAATAACTTCCATGTATTAGGGGCCCACAATTTTCCAGGCTCTCTACCAGCTCTCTACTTTTCACACACCGGAAGCCTGGTCCACAGCCCCCTCAGGAGGAAAGCAGACCCAGGAAGCTTTGTGTAGGATCCTAGCCGTGTGTTGTGATTCAAGCAGAGCGACCACAGATGCTCAAGAAGTGGCATCCCGTGCGGTCTCACACTCCTGAGTAGCCTTGCAAAGTAAAACAAAGCCAAACACCCTCTGTGAAACAAAGGTAATTTTCAAATGTCTTTTTCTTACAACCTTAAAGAATCTGATCCTTAATACACTTCCCACACTTCTCATTCTTTCCTCTGGGCTCCCACAGCAAATAATAGAACTCTAACTTTCTGCAGTTAGCTACTCATAGGCGCATATCTGCACTGTTTGCATACCTGGCCCATTACATGTGTTCAGTAAGTGCTTGTTGGATGAGTAAATGGGTGATTGCAGAATTGAATGAAAGCATGAATTTGTCTTCATTTGGTTAAATTATGGGATGGTGGGTCCTAGAGCAAATTAAGCCTGAAACATTGCTGGAGGCAAAAATGACAAAACTGAAGCTGTCCTACTTAGGGCACATCATGAGAAGGCAGGGTTCTTTGGAAAAGACAATAATGCCGGGAAAAAACAGAAGGCAGCAGCAAAAGAGGAAGACCGAACATGAGATGGATTGACTCCATAAAAGAAGCCATAGGCATGAGTCTACAGGAGGTGAGCAAGCAGGGCTGTTGAGGATAGGACATCACTCATGTGTAGTAGGGTCACCAGGAGTTGAAGCCAACTCAATGGCACGTAACACACACAGGGAATCAGATACTCCAACGACCTACCTAGTTCTTTGATAGCATCTCGTTTGTTGGTTTCTAAAATTTCATACAATTTCTGTAAGAAGTTAGGAAAAAAACATTAATTTCTTATTATATCAAGTGCATTTCTAACTTTAAAATCTGAGGGGGCCCTAGCTGGTTTGGCTCAGTGGATAGAGCATCAGCCTGTGGACTGAAAGGTCCCAGGTTGGATTCTGGCCAAGGGCATGTACCTTGGTTGCGGGCACATCCCCAGTAGGAGGTGTGCAAGAGGCAGCTGATCGATGTTTCTCTCTCATCGATGTTTCTAACTCTCTATCCCTCTCTCTTCCACTCTGTAAAAAATCAATAAAATATATATTAAAAAAAATCTGAGGGGGGAAGTACAGTAGTCAAAATCTCACTCAGTTTATGATTTGGGGGAGATATTTGGCTCAGTTCTGCCCTCTGTGTGATTCTGCTGCCTTCCCCATACTCACGCTCATGTTACAATGAATGCTGTGCTTGCCTAACTAATATTTCTCAGAAAAGATTATTGTGCACCGCACACGCACCCAGGAGAATTCTCAGAGATAGAGCCCCACTAGGGGAGAGCCAACTGAGCAGTCATTTGGGGAGCCAGTCTATTGGGAGCACAAAAACAGTGGAATTAATGAGAAGAATGTGCTGTCAATTAGTTCCTGCTTCCTACTGATAATTCCTGACACACATAGCTCCACTCCGGGGTCACCGATCTCTGTTCAATCATACAGTAGGTGTTTGTCAAATGTCCCAGCCAGCACTCTTCATGGAACTACTCTCTGGCTTTGAGTCTTTCAGGAGCTTGCACTTGGCCACACCAAAACCCCTGTGACCTAACAACTGAAGTTTCCTCAGACTGCCAGGCACAGGTGACTGAAATTCTGCACCCAGGCAATGCGTGGCATGGTGCTAGTTACAGAGAACAGCTGTTGGTCATCTCAAGTTTAATCAGTGTCAGTAATGAGAATATGCTGTGATTGTGTTGGTTTTAGAAAAACACATGTAATAGAGCCCTCATTTTGAATATGAGAGTAAGGTATACAATTTTTATTAGGTTTTTCTCCTCTCCTGACAACATTGAATCAATATTGGGAAGATGTCAAACTACTGGCCTGACCAGGGCAGCCACATACTGTGGTCCAACCCCCTTCACACCAAACAGGGCCCACAGCAAACCGTAAGATGGCTGCAGAACGACCCTGCACAAGAGCGTGTTGGAACCAATTCTGCCTACAAAGAGAATATAACCGTGAGAGCCTGGACACAATGTGACTTCTCTAAAGGTGAGCGGCCACGGCCTGGTTTCTTGAACACTTAAGTAGTTAGGTTTCGTTGTTTGGGTTTTGATGTGTGTTTTTTCCCATAGGACCAGTACTAGTCTCTTACCCGTGGTCGGCAAACTGCGGCTCGAGAGCCACATGCGGCTCTTTGGCCCCTTGAGTGTGGCTCTTCCTAAGCCTTAGGAGTACCCTAATTAAGTTAATAACAATGTACCTACCTATATCGTTTAAGTTTAAAAAATTTGGCTCTCAAAAGAAATTTCAATCGTTGTACTGTTGATATTTGGCTCTGTTGACTAATGAGTTTGCCGACCACTGCTCTTACCTGATATATTGATTCTCTGCTAGAAATCTGTTTTATCAAAAATTTGGCATCCTCTTGGCTTTTGACATAGCCTTTGGTGATACTATACATCAAGCTGAGGCGCCTCTTGATCTGCACATCCACAATGTTGATCAGCGTTGGGATTAATAACTGCAATAATGGAGAGGGGGAAACCTGAAAACGTGACGAGGCAAAGCATGCTCAACAGATCTTTATGCTAGGCTTCATTCAAGAATTGTAAGGTTATATCAATGACAAAAACGAAGACTGCTACCTAGCAGAGAGTACATTGAACATACAGGAAAAGGTGATAATGCTGTGAGGAAAAAATAACCTTAAGCAGGTAGAGAGGGATCAGGAAGATGGGTTGGGAGACTAGGAGTACAGGGAGGGGGTGGGGCACGTTGCCATTCTATGTAGGTGGCCAGGGAAGATCTTCTGTGTAAAAAAGAAAGATTTGAGCAATGACTTGAAGGAGGTGAAAGTGTGAACCAATCAGTTACCCATAGAGTGTTCCAGGGGAAGAGACAGCTCCTTCCCTCATTTATTTCAAAATAGTGAGGTTTCTGCCTGGCCGGTGTTGCTCAGTAGTTGTGTATCGCCCTATGAACCAGGAGGCCATGGCTTGATTCCCAGTCAAGACATATGCCCAGGTTTTGGGCTCAATCCCCAGTAGGGGGCGTGCAATGATCCTCTCTTATCATTGATGTTTCTATCTCTCCCTCTCCCTTCCTCTCTGAAATCAATAAAAAAATATATATAAAAATAATTCAGTGAGGTTTCTGAACATATTTAACAAACAGTGTAGGAAAAAAAGACCCAATATCTTAAAATGTGAAGTTTTACCTTGATCAGAGGAATAAATCTAATTATTCTTATATACCCTAATATTATTGTAAACTGAATAAGAACCAAGTTTTCCGGTCTCAATTTGACAAAGTATACACAAAAGCTATCAGTAATTCCAATAATCAGGATACAAAATTCCAGAGTATTCCAATGTTGATGAAAATATTTCCTTTTCAAAATTATTATCTGTTTAGAAAACAAATAGAACATATGTCATTTCATAGTACCTATACAATGATGTATGTGAAGGGTAGGGGGGAGTCTTAAAAATTAACAGTTACATTCTCAACAAATGAGTTATATTCCAAAAGTTGGGTTTTAAGTTATTCATTTGGGGAATTCCAAAAAATTATTTTTAATTTCCAACATAAAAAATCATAATTTAATTCAAACTATATAATTCTCTAATTAATCTGAAGTGCCCAGGACAAACCATGAAAAATATCGATAAACAGGTTCTTTGTGAGACTATTGATAATAATTAAAGTGTGAAAACAATCTTATCTTTTGAAGTAAAACGTAGTCCTCCTGATGAGGACCTAGCAAACCAGTTTGTTTTTATTTGCTCATTTATTTTTTTGCATCATTACAGAGAGAAATTGAGGGAAACATCCTGTCTGAACATTCAATTCTTGTCACTTGACCTTTGAGAGTCTGTTCACTTTATGATAGTTGCTGTATCTGATATCCAAAACTGTGGCTATTATACTGATTTCATTATTAAACCCAGAAAATTAAAAAAGATTAAAATTCTAGGATTCTATAAACTGTTAGAGCAAGTGGCTTCTAGTATCAAGTTATTTCAAAAATATGACAAAAATAAATTTACAATATCTGAATTGTTTTTTATGGGATATATTTCTATTTAAAGCAGTACCTTTAATACTGACTGTAATACATATAAAAGTATAAAATAGTAGTTTACTAATATCAGAGACGTCTCATTTAACTTTCTTGGCACTGAAGTTAGATGAATTATCAGAGGATAAATGTACATTAATGATACAATATGTCCTGCATAGTCAAATTCTTCTGAAAATACAATGTGATATATAAATATCAGAAATTTATTATTCCTGAAAAAAAAGAGAGATCAAGTGAAATGTTAGATCACTTTAAAAGTATAACAAGATGTAAAGTTCAACATTTATTTAAACAAATCATTAACAGTAATTTGAAGAAAGCGTAATATAAAATAATAGATAAGCAAAAATCTAAAACATACTTTCTATACATAAAAATCATAGTGCAGAAATAAAAATTTGGCTCTTGTGAATCTATGTCAGGCATAGAAAGTATTTTTAAAAATCAAGGTGAATGTACATAGGAAACAGTGAAAAGATTTATAGATTGAAAGCAAGAAACAAATTTAGAGAAAAAAGTAGCATTGTTTAAAATTAAGGACAGGGCCCAGTTGAGGTGGCTCAGTGGTTGAGCATTGGCCTATGAACCAGGAGGTCACAGTTTGATTTCTGATCAGGGCACATGCCAGGTTGAAGGCTCAATCCCCAGTGTGCGGCGTGCAAGAAGCAGCCCATCAATGATTCTCTCTCATCATTAATGAGAGAGGCATGCACGGAAACCTTTCTCCGCCTCTCTCCCTCTCCCTTCCTCTCTGAAATCAATAAATATCTACACTAATAAAAGACAAAGATGCTAATTGACCATACCTTTGCTATGCCCTAAGCCACGCCCACCAGCCAATCAGAGCGACTATATGCAAATTAACCCAACCAAGATGGTGGCTAGCAGCCACAGAGCTGGAGCAAGCAGGAGGCTTGGTTGCCCGGGTGATGGAGGAAGCCAAGCTTCCCACCTGCTCTGAGCCGGCTGTGGCCTCCACTCATGGCAACAAAGTTTCAATTATAGAAGACAAATAAACCCCAGATACCTGCTTCCAGACAGCCTCCACTGGGAGCTTGGGTGGCTGGGGGTTGTGGCCAGCCTGCAAACAACCATCAGCCCCTCACCCAGACTGGCCACACCCTCATGGGTTGAGGGTCCCCAATGGGGGGCTTAGCCAGCCTAAAAACGGCTCTCAGTCCCTCACCCAGACTGGCCAGGCACCCCAGCAGGACCCCCCACCCTGAAGGGGCTGTGGCCAGCCTGTATACAGCCCTCAGCCCCTCACCAAGGCTGGCCAGGCACCCCAGTGGGGACCCCCACACTGAAGGGGCTGTGGCCAGCCTGCAAACAGCCATCAGCCCCTCACCCAGGCTGGCTAGGCACTCCTATATAATAAAGGGGTAATATGCAAATTGACCCTAACAGCAGAAC